GTTACTGTCAGAATGAAATGGATCCACAAATGTACTGAAACTGGTTTCTCTAATATCAAGACTTCTGACAATCGTGGTTTTTCACTAACCTTGCTACCATTTTAATGATATGACCACACTATTTATATCATTAGATCTATTTGTGTAAGTTGTTGGGACTGCAATGACACAACAACTATTAGATTAGTACAGTAGCACACTATATGCAAATACTGTAAGACTTATTTTAGGAGCTATGCACCTACCCTCACCCCACCCTTCCAAAAAAAAAATATTTCCAGGTCAAACGTTCCTTGATCCCCACTAACTCAATGTTTATGGTTCTACGTGCTAACCCTTCTATATTGTTTACACACCAAACTGCTTATGGATTCAGGATTTTGTTCGATACAGGATCTATAGTAACACAAATCACCATTTTATTTTGAACAAAAACGCATAAATACTGGAATTAATTCCACTGAGCACTGTTAGGGTCTCCTATATGTATTATGTAGAAAATGAGAGATTTTACCTTTTGTTCAGTTCCTCACACTAAGTGCTTTAACAATACAAAAATTACTTAATAAGATGCTGTAGATCCCACAAGTAATGAATGGTTAAAAAGAAGTCAGTAGCTTAAGAAAAATCCTATTAAGTCTTTTAATTAGGTTATATGCTTTAACTATTCTAGAGCATGCTCGAATCATCTATCCATAACACATTCTGGATAGTATTTTTCAGTCTAAGAAGCAAGTGAACCAGAAGACAAAGGTTGCATTTTTAATACGGTGGAGAATGTGTTAACCCTCCTTACTTTTTTGTTCAAAGAGAGCTTCATGATGATGCTGAGAAAAGTGATGTTGAAATAATCCAAGGTTTATTTCTAGGGATAACCCCTGTCTTGTAAATGACTAGAATAATTATCATGTAATCAATGCTGTTGTATACAAAAGCATGAAAAATGTTCACAAAACAAATTCTGCATTTTGGTAAAATATTTCAAGGAGAAGCTGAATTGATACATTTCCTCTGCCATCTTGATGATGTCACTATTCCCCTTACACCATCTTCTCATCAATCAGAGACTATTCTGAGTCACCTTATTATGGTGCAGAAACGTGATCACGACAATGAATCGAGCATATCCTTCGTTTCTGGCTCTTTACTTCTAAACACACTTATTGACAATAGATACATTTATCTGTCTTTATAATAATTTCTAGTACCACTTAAGGGAAATGTCAAAATACAGAAAAAAAATTCTAAAGAAATATGAGAAATTGTGTAAAGATTTATATTTTGTATTTGATTATCAATTTCAAAAGCAGCAATACATTTTAAAGTGGAAGAAAATGTAGATACCTGTCATCATTCAAAAAAAATCATAATTGTTTTCAGACCTCATGTATTTCTTAAAACAACAACAATGAAAACATGAGTTACTTAAAATCTTCTGGATGGTAAAAGAAAATTCAAAATTTACCTTTCCAGGACAACTAAGCTCCCAAATCTTAAAACTAATAGTGTGTTTGTTATACTGTCAAAGCTATGGAAATAATTTAACAAAGTTACCACATCACACTTAAGTGCATTCAAAAGCCTGTTGCCTTGGTTGAAAATAGAAATATTAAAGAACATTTAATGTTAAATAGCTTGGGTTTGTGTTATTTTCAAATTATAGGGGAAAAGAGAAAAAATATTACAATTCATGGAATTCACAAGATAGTTATAATTTAATCATAAAGTTGTGTCAATTTTTTTTTAAACAAATACCTAATTTTAACAGTAAGTTATATTTAATTCCTCCTATTATATAAACTTGAGGAGTATGATAAACTATTTCAGCTAGTTGTGAATGATAAAAGATAAAAAAAAAAAATCCAGGGAATGAAAATTTGTTCATTGACTATCTATCTGCTCTGTTTTATTTTTTTTATTTTCACACACGCAAAGCCAGGAATTCAGTCTGGAAAATTTAGTTGACAACCCCATGTTAAAATATGAAGAATTCACTAGGTGTTTCTACATGATATGTTTCTTCATTCATATGAGACTATGCATTTCACATTAGCAATTTAATTATTTTTATAAAATAATTCAGGCATATATTTCGATACTACTTAAATACACTGTAAACGGGGGGAAAAGTTGTTTTTTTTATCAAGAAATCCAGTATCAGCAATTCCTATTATTTTTTCTACTACACTAAATTATTGTGTTTGTTTTGCTATCAGTTTTTAGTTTTGTTTCAAACACGGCTGAAAGAATAGAAAAATTTCATAATCAAATAGTTTTTCAAATGCTTAAATTGAGTTAGAAAGTAACTAAAACTGGAATGACCCTTTCAGCCCTATTTTCTTTAAAACAAATTCTCCTCTTAACTTTATACTTACTATTACATTATAGTTATTGACATAGAAAGCATTAATAAGTCATAAAAATTCAGTGTTATTTTTTTCAGTTATTATTATCAGTGAATGAGATACAAGCAGGGAAGAAAGGGTCTAAACCAGCAGCAGGCACTATGAAATTAGGAAGAAAGGAACACGACTCCATTTGGGATTGTTCAATCTTGGTAGCTTTATTACAACAAGAGGAAAATTACCTCTCAATACAAAAATGAACTGAATGTTTATAAATGAGGAGCCATGGGAGAATGTCAAAACAAATTAAAAGCTTCACAACCATGATGTACAATGATGTGGCCTCATTTGGTCACAAGACCCTTTCATGTCTGCTTGGCTCACTCACCTGGGAGTAAGCAATAGTTTATTATCATTTCCAGGATAACAAGACATTGCCAGGTTAATGACACCATAAATTCTTTTTTTACTGACAAAGTATTATCAGTATGTTACTAAATAGTGGTTAGTCTAGTTTATAATTTCAACACTGGACATAATCATGCTATGCTAGTTAGGTTACAGATGATCAACAAACCCAACAATAGCACACTACAAGCAGGTTGATGGTATGGTACAAATATACTTGCCACCAATTCCTGACTTAGAATACGGTTAGTGAGCCACACAGATTTTTTTCTCAGTAAGTTGTTTTTTTTTTCAAGATCTTGCAATTCTAGATGTTACAGACAAAAAACTCTCTGCATGTCTGATAATAACAAAAAATTCTTACAAGTCTAAAGCTGACAAGAAGTCTCATAGTGTTTTTCAAATCCTATTTCTGTAAACACACTTAGCCTTTCCAACATTAAATACACTGTAAGATGTAAAAACTTAGGCCAAGATGTAATGTTTAGGTCATCATCAACAACTTACTTTCAAGGCCATTATAATTTTTTTGTTTAACACTCTATCATCAATTTAAACCAGATAGTAAGCTATTTCAATCAAGAATTCCATAGTATCTATAACAGTTTAATATTCTTGATGCTCTCTACCAAAACATACTTTGTTACATGTTTGTGAATTTTCTTTCAATATGTTAATATTATGAGAACTAGATTCTACAAATTAAGCAATATTAGTACTTAGTAGTCAAACATCAGCATTTGTTTAAGAGACAAATGATGTTTCATAAAGAAGATAACACTTCGGATTTTTCTAGCAGGTATGAAATTTGGCTGCTTTTAATGCAATATATTAATGCACTAGACACTCTGGCAAATAATAATAAACCAATGAAATTGAACTTCATTACTCCTTTAACATTCAGAAGAGTTAATGTTCTCTATTAGTTAACAGAATTAGCTCAATTAGTTTTAATGTATGACAACACTACCTTAAAAGCCAAGTTATTTAACTACACCTTTATTAGTAAGGTTCTGTTAGAAAACTTTTCCATTGGTAATTGTGAATTGTGTTAACATTAATCAAATGGATTAAACTTACAGCCAAAATGAAGTACTTCATGAGAATCATTAAATTATGTCTCACAATTTAAAATAAAAGATGTATTTAGACACTGTTATTCAGAAATATTTGTTTAGTATAATTAATCCTACTTAGCATTTACACTATGAACTACACAACTACACCTGATTTTGCTTTGTTTTTTTTTTTAGATTTTAGATTTAAACTCTGTTAAAAAAGCATACAGCTCTTATAAGTAAGCTTTCAGCATACTGACCAAATTTAGGAATTTTTGAAGACTGTAAACCTCACATACAGAAAGACTATGAACAAAATGGCAAGAAAGTAAGTTAAATCTTTTAAACTACCATTAGTATTAGTAGGAAGACTGGGACTCCTCTAAACAAGTTTCATATTGGTCAAAACAATATGTTTAGGAGCATAGACCTCCTGGTTCATTCCAGTAGGAAATTCTTTACAAAGATTTGTCCATACATAATCACCTTTCTAACTTGTGATTAAATATATTAAATCAAAAAGACAGTTCTTATCCAAACCATCAAATGGTGAAAATCATGTGCTGCCTACCAAAGAAAGATGTTACAACATGAATGTGAAAAATTATTTTGAAAGCCATAAAAGCACAGGTAAGTCACAAATTCAGTAACACCTTATTAATCCTCATTTTTAGCATGTCTATTACTTTCATCAACTTAGCATGCTGTGTCACCAATTAAATCTCAGTTTAATTATTAAACTCAATGCTTTCTAGGTAAACATATGTCAAGCCATTTCTGCTTCATGAATATTTTTACTTTAAAATTGACTGAGAAGGAGGAAAACATGGGTGAAACATCAAACTTATTTTCAATAGCCAATCTTTTATGTGCAAAAGCTACAGAAGCAGCAACAGGGGAAACAGAATGTCACATGAAGACAGTATTAACGTGAACCTAGTAATTGTCAAGCAAACAAAAATTTGGGTATTTCAACATTAAGGACATCACACCAGCAGAATCCAGAATGCTGTGTGTTAAAATTTTGTAGTTGTTGTCAAATCCAAGTCATAGTCTCTGTTCAATCAAATGAAGTCACTTTTAGGTTAAGTTTACTTTCTATTTGGGTTTCCTCTGTTTCCTCCCCTTGCTCCACCTCTATAGCCACTTGCAGATCCCCCCCTCTGAGAACTGTTATTTGTGTTTGCACCACTTCTCTTGTCATTAGGGATGTAGTCACTGAGAGTTGCAGGATGAGTACCAGTACTGTTGTTGTAGCGAGAGTCTCCTGCCCATCTACGGCCGGGGCCCTGTCCTGGTCCTCCACCTCTGCCACGACCTCTTGGAGGTCCTCCTCCTCGTCCCCTGCCAACATCCATGTCAGAATTATAACCTCTATCAGGCCCTGCTCTTCGGGGTACTGGGAAATTTAAAATGCTACCCATCTGTGTTCTCAGCTGCTGGTCAATTTCTTGTTTTTCTTGTCTCAATTTCTCAACTTCCTACATAAGGAGCAAAATAAATTATATAATAAAATATGAGAACAAAGAAACAAGGTTTTCTTTTGTGTTAGAGATAAAAGTTCTGGATGAGAAACTATTAATAATCTTTTGATCCCATTATAAAAATTTTTTAAATACACTTTATTTTGATAACTATTCATTTACTTGAGTTGCATGTGTTTAAGTAGAAAATGATAAAGCAAGAAACTTGGAGTATGCTGGATCATCTATATTACACTAATTAACTGAAGTAATGTTACAGAAGAGATTAAAAGAAATTAGATATTTTGCATCAGTTTTTATCAATTTCACTACCGTTATTCTTACAGTTTGATGGTTTGTTTGTTTGTTTTGAATTTCGCGCAAAGCTACACGAGGGCTATCTGTGCATGCTGTCCCTAATTTAGCAGTGTAAGACTAGAGGGAAGGCAGCTAGTCATCACCACCCACCGCCAACTCTTGGGCTACTCTTTTTACCAACGAATAGTGGGATTGACCGTCACATTATAACACCCCCACGGCCGAAAGGGCGAGCATGTTTCGTGTGACGGGGATTCGAACCCGCGACCTGCAGACTGTGAGTCGAGCACCCTAACCACCTGGCCATGCCGGGCCAATTACTTATATAATTTATTTTTGATATTTGAAATATATAAGTCCTATTACACTTTCCATAAGCACAAAAACATTTTCCATCACTTAAGGTGTATACTTCTGTATTTAAAACAAACATTTTAAATTATAATATGTTTCCAGCTTTAATACTTCATATTTCACAAACTTTAGGTTCCAATATTGTCATTTCAAATTTTTAGTTTTGTAAATAAGGGCAATCCTTGGTTATCATCAATTTATGTTGGTTTTTAGTTTTATCAAAAGCACAGAATTAATATTATCCATAAACATCTTTAATTCTTTTTTGTTGCAAACAATTTTAATTCTCTAATCAAACAATTTTGGGCAAGTTACAATTTCTCAAATAGGAATACCAAATAAGTGATCTATTCTGGATCTAATCTAACAAAGTCTTTAAATTTTGCAGTAAACATTTTTCAAAGTGAGGAGAATAGCATATAAAAGCAAATTCATAGAAACAAACACACATTGAAAAAATAAACAAACAAAACAAGTACACAGCCACAGGTGATTTTGAATGGATTTTAAAACTGCTGGTATAATTATGGAAGAACATATATATTGTAGGCTATTTCTACAATTTTCTACCAATACAAAACTGTATGTGTTCTCTATATATATACACACACACACACCTATGCACGATAAATTATATATTTATACTTAAACTAATATACCTGTAGTCACAGCAAACCTACCTTCAGGTGCGCTAAATGATACTCAAGAAGAATTTTAGCATTTGTAATATTCTCAACAGTTCCAACAAAAACAAAAGGAACCTACAATGAGAAAAAACAGAAGCCATTTTTAATAAACCCACTGGATGGTATTCATTTTTTAAATAAATAAAAACAGGCATGTTAAAACATCAAATTACAAGGCTAGATCAACAAATTTACAAAACTGAATAATTTTATTAATTTAGTACCTCAAACTGAAAATCCTCCCACTTCTGATCAGCAACTACCTCCTTGAATTCCTAAAAAGAAGGTCATAATTAACAATGCAATATTTACACATAACATGCCCATGTGGTTTTAAAAAACAAGCCTTAAATCCACAAGATATTTTCAGGCTTTGCTGCAGCATCACACATACAGAATTATAGAAAATGTTGCAAAACTGCCATAAAAGACTGAATTCAAAATACATATTGTTTAAGTTGAAATTCTCATTGGTAGTAAAAACAGCACAAATGAACAATGAAAAAAGCAACAATTTAGCTTGTGAACATCATAAAAGCTTTGTGTAAGTATGAAAATAAATATACAAAAGTGTCCTTTTCATGCATCTGCCCTTTCCATGACTATAATGAAACTCAAGATAAAAATCAGATTGGGATTATTTTTCAAGAGCTTACAATTGCATTTTTAATTTAAACAAAGAATAACACTGAATTTATAAACATGTTTAAAGTAGTAGAGAAACATCAGCAACAGCTTAAAAAGCTGGAGCAAGCTTTCATATAGGTAATATTTTTCACAATATATTCAAGATTCTAATGTTAAAATACAAGGATAATCAGGCAATTATTCAAGTGAAAGTAACATACAAAGCATAACAATTTGTCTGAAAGTAATATATATATTAATCATTATGCATAAGAAGTTTATTAATATGCACAGGAAGAATTTAGTGTTTCTCTATTTCACACTCAATAAAATGGTCCATTCAACGGATCCCACAACGATGATGATGATAACCTGACAGATAGTCCATAAAATGAAAATAATAATCTTACTATAATGGATGTAATGTGTGCGTGTATGTATATATATATGTATGTGACCGAAATAATATATATATATACAATGTGACACCATCTATTAAATGTCACCACAACAAAAACCCATAAAAAATGTTAACATTTTGTATTCAAGATTCCAACAATTACAAAAATAACTACGGTATGTGCAACCATTTCTTTATCAAAGAACACAATTATAAATAAAAGTACTCTCCTCACAACAAGAATGTAACTTTCGCTAGGACTGTACGTGAGGGTTTGGTGATATCTTTATTGATGTAATTTGTAAATATAGTACTAAAAAAATGGAGTTCTTCAAAAGAAAAACTGTCATTTTTTCAATAAAGGGTTCTCTCATTTAATATAAAAAACATTACATTTTATATCAGCACAATCTGAACACTTTTTTCAGTACTTCCCATAACAATCCTTTCTTAGAAAATGTTCTCTTTCTCTAAAATTTTTTTCAATAAGGTATGAACACTATGATTAGTAATTACTAGCACAAACAGCCACCCCTAAGGTGGAATCTCTGCTAGTAATAATCAATAAGATAACAATTGCATAAATAAAGAAAATGAAAAGACCTGAAATAAAAATCAGGATTTCTGAAAGCACTATATAACTATTCACTCACACTTATAACAAAAAAAAAATTATTTTACAACTCTAAAAATGTATAATCTAACAATATAATTACTAAATCAATTAAATTCAAGGCTCTAATGAGATATTTGAATTTATGTTTGCTTTGCTACATGAGGTGGTAGAAGAAAAACTGCTGGTAGTTAAAATTTTAAACAGTATTCTGGTAATGATGTTCATCATATCTCACATAAGCTGATAAGACTGTTGTTTTTACAAGGGAAATACTTTTACTGAGATATAAATCTAAGGCTGGTAATTTTCCTGTATTACTTGAATATATATATATATATTTACGAAGAGTTTCTCCTCATATGAAAATTCAAAAATGGAATATAATATTAACTCTTTTCAGCATGGACTCAGTCCCCAGGACCGACCTCATAACTTTTTTCTGTTTGTTATAGTTTTATGCTATAACTTCTAAATTAGTAAGCGTATGTTAACGAAATTTGGTACATTATCAGTAAACATTACAATGCTTTTATACGCAAAATATCAATTTTTTTTTATTAAGTCTTAAGATTTGTAAAGCAATGTTTTCCTCATGCCTTTATTTTGTTTTCACACATTGCCTATCCAACATGCAAAGTAATTTTCATTTTACGATTAAAAATACTTTTGTGCATCAGAAACTTTTCAAATTTCACATGCAAAATCTTTATAATATCCAGATAGTTATCAATATTTAAGAAAAAACTTTATATTTTATCTGTTAGTTTGAATAATGAATCTCTGTACGGGTTTGGTCAATTTTACTGATCTCGTAACCACATTAAAATAATAGGAAATAAATATAAATTATGCTTTTTTCATTCTAGAATGACTACAAATATAACATGAAAACATAAATGTTTAGACTAAATCGCTTAAATCTCATAACATTATACATTTATATATATTTATTATTTATATTATATTGACCTTTCAATTGTGTCTAACTAACAATACAAACTTATTTTTCTTAAAACATAGAACAGTAAATAAAGAAGTAAATCAAACAATTATCTCTTCTAGTTACGAACTTTGTACTTGGTTGCTAAGCCTTTTAAAATTTTGCATACGGAGGATATGAAATAAAATTGTTTTTAGGTTTTATATATATATATAGTTGATAACCAAAAATCATAAATTTCTATATCGATACCACAGAATTCCACCATAATTTATCAAGCTTAGCAACTAAGTTGTATTTCAGTCTAAACAAATATGAAATTTTGAGCAGACTAAAGACACAACCTACCTCCTTGAAACCTTGGTTCAAAAGAAAGAAATGGCATCCAAACACACTGAAATGGCTGAGAAAGCCACTAGGGGGACATTCTGAGCTTCCGATTGGTTATTCATGTCATATATAGAAGTAATTGTATATAAGGGAGTGTTTCCAATAATGAAAAGAGGTGGGCAGGGTGCCATTGTGTTTGATTTATTACATGAGTAATATCTTAGCAAATGGAAAAGATAAAAGGCTCTTACTTTATAATTTGAGTTCCTAATTCGTTAGAAACTATAGACTTAGTATTCTGACATCACAAACATCTAATATGAACCAGTGCTACATTCAACATATCGCATGACACACAAAAAACGATGTTTCACTGTTTTTTTTATAATATTTACTTTTAAATTAAGAAATTGAGTAAGGTATAGTACTAAAATTTGAATTATAAACTACAGTTTGATACCAAAGTTACTGACGTAAATTCATGAAATAGTAGTTCAATAAAATTTTGAATGCAAGTCAACAAATGCAATGACATGGCCTTTCACCCACGACCTGTCTGGAAATGGTTAATATAAACAATCTTGTAAATCACTATGTAAACAAGTTCAATAATACCTTGCTAAACACTTCATGACTACTATATACTCAGAAACCACTTACTGTTTTCAATCACTATGTAAACAAGTTCAATAATACCTTGCTAAACACTTCATGACTGACATATACTCTGAAATCACTTGTTTTTCTCAGTCACTATGCAAACATGTCAGTATTGCACTAAAAGTTCATGACTGCAGTGCACTAAGAAGCCAATTTCTTTTCTAAATTTCTATGCAAACAAGTTCAGCAGTACCTTAGTGAAGAACAGTTTGCCTCTTACAAATCATTCAAAATGGCAATTATCATGTTTAGAAATACCAGTATGTTTTATGTTTGTGTAATAAACACAAGTAAAGTATGAAAAGTATGTTTTGCAATTATTTTATACCCCTGTGTTGGAATGAATAAGGAAGTATTACACATTGTTTTGTTTGAAAAGGGAGAAAGTTGTATAACATCAGTATATAATTGTACAAGAGCAGAGATCTATAAATGGTTATTTAATAAGTTTAGATTGAATCAAAATGTTTTACAAATGGATATGCATTCTTTTTCTCACATTTTTCCTTAATAAAATGTATGAGTCTCTCTGGAATTTTTTTTAATTAGTTAAACTTTTTTTAACAGAGCAATAAAAATGATCCACTTGGTAAAAATAAACCTTAAGATACCACAAAATATTTCAGAATGCCAGAAGGAGTAAATCCATTTAGCTTTATATCTATGATTCTTTTTTTTTAATTCCATGAAATTATAAAAACACTCATTAGAAGAATCAGAAAATTCTAGTATGTTCTTTTTTGCTGAAATATGCATTTAACATAGATGTGAGGCATTTGTCTCTTACATATTCAACAAAACCCACAGGAGGAAAGAGTTACTGATACATATCTATGTCTGACCTGTAACTCTCAAGAAAATAAGAAAAATCTAGCCCAGCTGTGTCTTATTAGGTTTGTGCAATAATTTTGCATTAGTGCTATACCATAGCTGGCTAACAACTTACAAAATAGTGTGTATTAATTAAAATGTTTTATAACCTTTCCTGAAGACACAGTAATCACAAAGTTAATGACTGAACCCTTTAAGTAGCAACATGAGAACACCGTGTATCAATAGATCTTGTATAAGTTTACAATGTACAATAATTTATCTCTAGGTTATTTCTTTCATACACTGCAGATATAGATCTTAAAGCAACCAAGAGAAGGCTTACATAACTCATGTTAACCATATATGTTTGATGTTTTTTTTTGGGAGGGAAGGTTAACTACACTTATTTCTGAAAAGAAATGGCTAAAAAAAATCATAATTTATTATTTTGGGGAACAAATCCAATCAAACATATACGTAAATTTTTCCTCTGCTAACAGAGAAAAAACAACAGACTTTAATAGTTTGGTTAGTAGCTGTCATCTAAACCAAAGAATACTTCACCTCTTCCCGTGGAATTTGGTTTTCATTATCACCTTCTATCTTCACTCTCACTACTCCTGATTTATCCACTATTTCTTGAATGATTCGACCATTTTTTCCTATGACTTTTCCTGAAAAACATCAGTCATACATTTTTTCATATTGTAATAATTTGTGGTTCCATGGGGAAGTATTGCTTTAATATGCACACATGGAAAATATGCCCATTTGAAAGGGATTCATTAATACTCTAAAATTGACATTAAATTTTGAAAACATCATTTACACTTTTAACAATGTCAAAGAATGGAATCATAATTAATTTGGAAAATGGTACCACAAGCCTACATTATTTTCATTTTGACTACTCTTAAAGTATTAAACCTGTCATTAACTAACTAATACTCTAGGCACTATAACTGTCTCTTCAGAAAATTCCAGCATATTTACTGTTTCTTATGTCTAGTGGTTTAAGAACTAATCAAGTTTGTGGACACCAAGTGTATCTATTCACTTGAAATTAGCTTATAAACTAAGACTCAAGACACTAAAATTAATTAACACTTTTGAAAACAATGTCATATAAAAATCAAGTGATATTCAGCTTGCCATCTAAGAATCAAGGCACTAGCATTAACACCTGTGAAAACGATTTATTACACATTCACTTCACATTTTTCAACTAATACTCTTGGCATTGGTATTTATTGCTTTGAAAACAAAATAACCCAATATCAATTGATAATAAACTTATCAACTAAGACTCCAGACACTAAAATTAGTTAACGTCACTGAAAACAACGTAACATAAAATCACTTGATACAAAACTATGGCTCCTGGCACTAAACTACCATGATAAATGTAGCACACAAAGTTACAGAATCAAGGCACTTGGTTCAATTCCTAAGAAAACAATGTAATACATGTTAACTTTACACTTCTCAACTAGTTATTGCTATGAAAACAATACACTGAAAGCTCAGATACATCTCGTATTAAGTTTACTAATTAGGCTTGACTCTTTTGGAAACACTGGAGAATATAATTCAAGTTACATGTAACTTACCAACTAATACTCTAGGCACTAAAACTGTCTCTTCAGAGAATTCCAGCATACTTCTGGCTTTTTTCACTGCTTCTTCTGTCTAGTGGTTTAAGAAATAATTTATAGTTAAATTATACTAATGATCAGTCTTCTTTCCATTATTACTTTACACATTTGCAAAAGAAGATTAAGATCTTTAATACATTGGATATGAAAATATTATGTCATGCATGATGTGTGATATCCATAAATCTAAGTAAAAAACAAGAATGGAAAGTAATGTATGAAAAAAATAAAATATATTATTGGCATTAATGTAAGAAATATTTTAATATGTAATAAACATTTCTTTTATGCCGACACTGGGAAAATCTTTTAGCAAAGTTGTAGTGGTAAAATGTTTGGATCTAAACTGTCAACTATATCCTAATACATTTTGTGCTACAATTTCAGGCACTTAATTTGTTTATAATTACCAGCCACTTACCAATTACATTTATATATCCTACAGCTGTATCTGTAGCCTATATATAATAGATATATCATTTGTGTATATTTGCATGTCATCATTTTAAACATGATTTTAATATTTTCAAATACAACTTTTTAACCATATGTGTTCAGTACCAGAAAACATTTTATCTACAAGTTAAGTTTATTTTATAATTACATGTAGTTATTCTAGTCCACCATAAACAAGTACAGGAATGACACTCTAAACCAACTACACGATTGCCTCTTTGTGAAAAAGCCTCATGACACTGTCTTGCTTTCACAATGAAGTTTTGAAATGTAAGTTGTATTTATTTCCAAATTTTGTGAAGTTTGTAAAACTCTTGAAAGCCATATGTAACAAAATTATTATTTTATAATCACAGAATGATGATTAATCTGTAAGGATGCAATAATAATGTCAGCTGTTGATTCTTTGTACTTAATTATATGTAGAATAACAACTACACAAAAATTTAACTCTTTCTGGATTAGTGGGGCATCATGTAACCAAACTGGATGAATCATAATACAAGCTTTCTAATTAGTTTCTAGTTTTTACTTTTAAAAAAATTCATATAATTTGATTCACTAGTTTCATCATTTTTTAGGTTGTGAAATGTCAAAAATTTTAAAAACAAAACAAATACTTCTTTTCATCATAAAATTTAATTTTTTATTGTCCATCAGAAAATCCCATTTCGTATATCAATTTCAACTTGTTTAATATTTATTAACATATCTGTTTTGGTATTAAAATTTCCTGACTGAAGCAATCACCATTTCTGGCTCTAAAAACTGCAAAGACTGACAATGATTTATTGATGATCTAGGAGCTCATCCTTCAAAATGATGTCACCATTCTTTTATGAGGCTAATTATCCTGATTTTTGGCAACAATATTCTAGGTCAAAATTAATTTACATCTGATACATACAGTTTGTTTTCAATAAATTGTAAACTCTTTTTATTTGTGTGTTGTTTGAATATGATAAAGTTTACAATAACATTCAATATAAAAAAGGATCCAAGTCATCAGAATAGTTTGTCATCACTTTATACTACACTCGATAAACATAACTAAACTTACCCAATGTCTTGTCATAAAAATAATTTCTGTAGCTTTCAAAAAGATATAATCTAACAACAAAACAGTTTCAGAAATAAAAACAACATCAAACTGGCAAAAAATTCCAAAATCTATGGTTTGTTTCTAAGTACTGAAAACTTCACATTAGAATCCTTTAATCACTCCAATATTTCAACAAAATACTGCTATAATCACTTTTAGTTACTAGAAGTAACTATTTTGAAAGTTGAGCATTATTAGTTCTCCAACCAAATGCCGTCACATTATAAAATGGCAATTCTAATAAAACCATTGATAGAGAAGGAAAACCATATGAAAAAAAATAGAACATATATTTTCAAGGAACTATAGTTTCTTAGCAAATATAAAACTATACTTAGAGTAAGCTGAAGAAGTATAAAAAATTAACTAATATATTGTTTACAAGTGAGACCCTATGAAGTTCTAAAGAAAGGAAGGTTGGAACATTGTTTTCATTTTTCTTGACGAATTAAACAAAAATATTTTATATAGTGACAAAGTATTCATTCTAAAGTATTTCTGAGTAAATACTGTCTAAAGTGTCAGAATGAAATTTTTACTTAAATTTTGAAATTCATTTTTATGCAAGTTTGCACTCAACACCTGAAAGATGCACAATGATCCTGGAAGGGTTAAGGTTTCCAGATCCCACTTATGTCCCATTACATAAACCATATTAAACACTTTATTCAAAATGAAATATTTTGATTCTTGGTTGACTATCAGAAAACCAAAAACATAAGTCAGAAATGTAAAAACACTATTAGTTTTCCAATGAAAAAAGTGTGAGTAAATTAATTATAATTTTTCAAAAAATATTTGCTTTAACCAAAATTTTTTTTATCATACACCATCATTATATCTAAATTAAACAACTGACACTAATTTCATGTTTACATGCCAATTACCATAAAAATACCAAAATACATACATCTCCATATATTTTAAAAGTGCAGGTAGGTTCTTCCAAATCAATGCCTGTAATACCATCAAGTTTACGTGCATTCTGAATATTGGCCCCGTGAGCTCCAATAGCTAAACCCATTAGATCATCTCTAACACTGAATTCTTCTACATATCCTGAGTTAGAATGCAGCTTTGTGTTCTGAAAAAAAATTTTAAATAATAAGATGTTCTTTTAAACACATTATTGGCAAGTAGAATTTAGTAGCAATGGGAAGTTTTTAATGTTTAAAATAAGTTCCTAGATATAAATATTTGATCAGAAAGAAAGGGATTTTATATTACAACCTAATTACTTGTTAGGGCTTGCCTTCAGCAATGACGGAAACATTAAGAAAATGTCATATATTTCTTTTTATTATTAGTGACATAAGATAGACAAGTTTGACAGATAGAATTATGTAAGTACAAGTTATCAAATAAAATTCCAATGTATATAAAAAGTTTAATTCTAAGAGGTAAAAGAAAAGAAAATTATATCAAGAAACCAGAAAATCAAAACACCTTACTTCTAATTGTCGGGCGGCTTCTTCAGTTCTATGGACTAAAAGCACTTTCTGTCTTAAGTTTCGGAAGTGCATTTCTATCAACAATATTGCTCTTTTTTTGGTGGCTTCTGATCTCCCCTGTTAAGAAAAAAAACATAAAATGTTTCATTATCATGTAACTTGTGACACCCTTTGGAAACAATTTCAAGCTATACTTATGAAATAAATGTTAAATCAAGTGCACATGTTACACTAAATGCAAAACATTCATACACATTAACTAATGATATATTTGCTTTGTTTTCTATTTACAATATTCAGATATACTATGAAAATACAGCATAACAATTATAGCTTTCGTGGGTGTATTTTTTCTTTTTTTGATGTAGTAGGTATGAGAAGTGTAACAGCCCCAAAAGATATTTTACTAGATAAACTACAATTTTTTCACTGTGATGACAAAATTATTACAACTGTAATAGTGATTAGAGTGCTATATATCACATAATTAGGTGACCTACACAATCTGTCTGCCTGCCACATTAAATTAACATGATTTTATACACCATATGTGACACAGACATAACATTTATGTATGGGCAGGTTAACCAGTCTACATATGTGACAGGCTGAAAATATTATTATTTAATTCAGAAAATATTAAAATGTAAAATCTCTGCGTAGGTTATCCAGTCTATATACACAACAAAATAAAAAAAAACATAAGGCAGTCTGTCATTTGAAACATCTCACATTTTTTCCAACAAACCCAGGAAAAAGGAGACTTTGGAGTTCCAAGTGAGTAGTCAGTGTAACTTTGTCCAAACACAGCTTTTTTCTTGTATCAATAAAACTTTGAATTCAATTTTTTTTTTACATATTTAGAATTAAAATGAACTTAAAGTGCCTGTTTGAAATTCATTCTAATTCTAAAAATGTAAAATTCAAATCAGGCAAACTTAATCCTGAAATACTGAAAGCCAGTCTGGAGGCTGAAACAATTTTCAGAATTAGATTTGAGAAAAATGAGCAAGGTAGACCACCCTTACAATATGACTTGACCTAAAGCACACTCTGAAAGAAGGTATTTTTCTAAACAAGGTGCCTCTTCCTCCATGAAGCCTTATAATTCAGGCAAAGAGTTCAGTTATGTGAGCTGCAACGGTGCATTACACCTGTGGAGACAACACAAGAGAATAGTGCAATGGAATCATCAAAACATAAAGAATAAAAACATGGGTGATTCCACACCTAGAGCAAAGACATCTAGTAATATCTCAAATACCACACACAGAGACTTGCAGGTGGAGGTGGTAAAGGTACATGCTGAGGTTTCATCAACCACCAGATAGCATCTTCAGTCCACTTCCATACAGCCTCAGCGTAAAGGGTGGAATGGTGTTGAGGACAAACATGTGAAAGCCCTGACTGGATGAATTCATACAAATAAACAATATCCCTTAATGAGAGTCTGTATTTAATTGTATTTTTGTGATTATGAAATGAAATGTACAAACCCATACACTCTGCAAACAGTGAACAGGTGATGAGCAGAAGGGGCAAACAAAATAAAAACTCATCTGTTACGAATTCTACCAAACCTGTAGAATAACTACAAGTGGCAAACAAATTCCTGAACTGAAGAAAATAGCAAAAAAGAATTCAAATTTGTCCACATGATAGCCTGTAAGATGACCTCTAAAGAGCATCAAGATCAAAAGGCCAGAGTCATAGCCAAATGGTGAATTTGACGAGATGTAATTTGAAAATCACACTGAAGGTGTTTGGAAACATCACAATAAATAATAGGGATTAACTGCAAAAGCTATTTTATTAATGTGAGTGGAATATGGAATAAGTAATCTAATAAAGATGGTTTCATTGAAAATTGTGTCTAACTGAAGAAAATCAACCTTTAGTGAAAACAGACTTCCTAGAAGAGCAAGCTTCTTGTCTAGTTGATTAAAGCATGCTATCAACATCTAGTGGGCTCTATAGAACTGAAGCAATTTTGTGACTGATCAACACGAAGATTGAATCTACTTTCTATCAGTGTGAGTAACTACTTTTACGTGCAATGGAATCATTCGAAATACCGCTAAAACTCGGTCTGGTAAGCTTGTCGGTATTACTTATTGGTAATGCCGTAAATGACAGAATTGATAGATGCACTTGCGTAAACTAGAATGTAGGCCAATATGTTTAAAACTGGGTATTTTCTGTGGAACAAAAATCAGTCAGACAGTGTAGGTAACAAAGAGAAAAATAGCTGTGACCCTCTCTAACCACCCAAGTCTTAGGTAAGAAAGAACAATCAGGATATAAGTACAAAGCCCTTCACATGGGGGAGGTGGGCAAGAAGCATCAATGACAAAAGTGCCTGATTGTCTTTTCCCTGAAGCAAGTGATAAAAGAAAGTACATTTTCAGAGAAAGATGGTAAGGCAAACATGTTATTAAGGGTCCAAAAAAGAAGAAAAAAAATAACAACTAAGATCAGACTTAAATCCCATTGAGGAAAACTTCAAGGCAATTGTATGCAACATAGACAAAAAGCTCAAAAATGTTTCTAGAAAAATAATACAAGAGAGGCTTATGACTTCTGTGGCTAGGGAAAGTGGCTGAGAGGAAAGATCTGTAGCTTGCAATAGAGGCCAACAAACCTTGATCAAGAAATATATACATGAAATAGGAGGCAAGTTGTGGAGAGACTGCCAAAAGACAAGAAACTGAATTCCACAGGCACAAACTAGCTGTGACAAAATGTTGACTAGCTAAGAAGAGAAGTTGACGTCATTGTAAGAGACAGATGTTCAAAGGCTGACTGAGAAGATATTTTCAAAGACATAATGTAAAAGGATCCTTCCTAGATAGATAACTAAGTAGTACAAACCACAGTTCAGCAGGTCAGCATGGGGCAATAAGAACTCAACAATGAGATCTACTAATATTGGACAACGTCAGAGGGAGAAGTAAAAAAGAAGGGTATACACAAAGAAAAGGATTCTCTCAAGATTGGATAAAGGCATCTACAGTTAGAAAACTTGAGACGGGAACTGGAGACCAGTACAGCAGTTGAAGATGATTAATCTGCCAATGTAAATGCATCAATCATAGGACATCGTAACTGAAAGGCACAACTATTGGAAATCCAAAGAGTGAAGGGTCCATTCAATTGGTAGAAGCTTGTATGTTCATAATTCCAAGTGTAGAAAGGCTAGGAAATGACACAATATGATGGAATTACAAAACCCAAGAGTGCAGTTAAAACAAAGGCTGTGAAAATGAGTCTCATCCAGCTTGTTGATATATGCTACCACAGTCAAATTATCTGTGTGTACCATAACACAACGGTGTTGTAACAACAGCAGTAATTCCAGGCACACACATATTGAGTTGCTCAAACTTTGAACAGATTGATGTGAGACTGGAATTCCCAAGTAGACTGCAGGCAACAGCCCTGGAGCAAGGCATTGGTGAACAGATGCAGTTCTGGAGGAGGAGAAAGAAATGGGGAACCTACCATGGTAAACTCACAATGGAGCCTCACTTGTAGGTAATTGAAAGCAGTTAGAGATAGCAAAACTTCTGAGACAATGAACTTGAAGATAGGTACCAATGAAAGTTAACATTTTCCTTACCTGAAAATGTACTTCTGATAGATCCTCGCCTCAACACACAGATTAGCTGTGAATTGTACTAGTAGATGATTATATCATCATGCAACAAAAGCCCTCCACCAATAGGAGGTACACACTTCCATGTGCACTAACTCCCCTATGCACTAGTGAACCTTCATTCTTTATGAGGCAAGTAATAAAATGTGCACCAGAAGTGGTGAAGATGGGTGAAAATATGTGTAAAGTTATCTATCAGAACTATATTTTCAGGTAAGGAAAATGTTAACTTCTGAAACAAGAACTCACCTCTACATACAAATCAACTGGAATCCCACAAAGTTGATACGATGGAGGGCCAGTACAAAATTTACCTACATGAGCAACCCTTCTGAAAGTCTGAAGGATGCCCTTGGGGTATGATACTTGATGGCAGGGACTCCATAAGGGGACACCTATGAGAGACCACATCTCATCTTATCCAGGGTATTGCTCTTCACCTATATAGGAAAGGGAAGAGGCAAAGAAGCTAGAGTTCTGTTACAGGGATGAGCAGAATTGGTACATGGCCATCCGAGTACTTGCACACAAGTTGTCAGACAGCCAATATGTGTAATGTGGCTGGGACTCATTTAGACTGTACCTTGTGTGCTCACCTCAACTCTATCATCCAAATCAGCAGGTTAAAACCAGTTGTGGGAGCAGGAGGGAACTTGTGATAAGTATCCAAGCTCACCTCAACTCTACCATAAGACTCTACAGGACTGATTCCAGCTGCAAGAAGAAGGCACTTTATTATATATATAGTATGGATACTCATACATCTCACCTTGACTACCAGTCTCTGTGGGCCTAACATCAGCTGTGGGAAAAGGGTATGTGAGAGATATATCACAGATGTATATGGAGTGCTCACCTCTACTCTATCATCAGACTCTACAGGACTTACCCAAGCTGCAGAAGGAGGGTACACTTTTTATATAGTAAGTACCAGTATTGAGTGTAGTCATCTCAACTTGAATAAACAGATAGTGACTGCAGGAGGAGGCAATATGAGATACATGTATTTAATGATTTTGTACACAGAGTGCTCACCTCTACTCCACAGATTTTATGGGATACACTATCTGCAGGAAGAGGGCATTGTATTATGCAGCATCAATATGTATGTAGTGCACAACTCTACTGAACAGGCTCAGGCTGCAAGAGGAGGAAATATGACGCATGAGTGATGTATCTGAATTATATAAAGAGTGACCTGCACTACACAAACAATGTCACTTCTGCACACTTTTCAACATATCAACACCACTTGTTCTAATCCCAGCAGTTTTGTCCCAACTGGTGAGGATTCTGCATGGTCCACCACCCCAGCAACTAAGAACTAGGAGGAGAATTCGCTGAGAGGAGAAATTAAGAAGGTGCTTGGATCTCCATCAATCTTTCAGTCCAGAAGGGTCTTTTAGTAAAGACTGTGCAATGAGTGACCTCAAAGCCATATTTTTAAAGACCACCAAGCATG